CGTCAACCTATGAACCAGGAGGTCATGGTTGGATTCCCGGTTGCATTAATGGCCGCTTTATAATTTCTTTTATCCATGTGTTTCTAGATCCACCCATACTGCCCAATTGGTACTCACCTGGCGTCTCAGTCAAGCAGTTCACTGTGAGCTGATGATGCTATCAACTGAATGACCTATTTTGCTTCCCTTTTTTTAAAAAAAATTATTGTTGAAAGTATTGCCTATGCCCCCTTTATTCTCCCATTGACCCCTGATAGCCCCCCGATGCCTCCCCCCCCCCCGCCCGGGCCTCCACCACTCCACTGTCTGTGTCCATGGGTCATGCTTATACACATACAAGGTCTCCGATTGATCTGTTCCCACCCACCCACCCTCCCCTGCCTTCCCTCTGAGACTCCACAGTCTGTTCCATGCTTCGAAGCTTCCTTTTCTTATTTCTTTTTTACTTTTTAAATATATTTTCATTGATTTCAGAGAGGAAGGGAGAGGGAGAAAGAGATAGAAACCTCAGTGGTGAGACTCATAGACTGGCTGCCTCCTGCACGCCCCACACTGGGGACCAAGCACTCTGTCTGGCATGTGTCCTGACTGGAATTTGAACTGTGTGACCCCCTGGTTCATAGGCCGATGCTCAACCACTGAGCAACGCTGGCAGGGCAAAATACTGTTAGTTTTAACATGATTTACATGAGCTCTAAAAAAAGTATTTGTATTTTGGACATGGACCTAGAAGCATTTTAAAGTCTGTGGTCCTCTTAAGCAGATTCAATAAGTAAAAGGCAATGCGATTGCAATTCATAGAATAAACAATAAAGAAAATAAAAGCACTCTCCATGTTTTACTTCTCCTGTTTGCTTTCATTTCTAAGATAAATGTAGGAAATGCTGCCCCCACATAGCATTAATTTTTTATGCGAAGCAACAGAAAAGAACCTGTGGCTCCCTAGTTCCCGAAAATGTCATGCGTCCGGTCCAGGCGGTGGCAGCAGCCGGGGAAGTGCCCTCTGACATTGTCACCAGGATGCAGACAGCCAGCCACGGCCCAGACCCGGTTGAAAGCTGTATTGTTGTTTGTGGTGCCCTGTGGCAGTGAAGTTTTCCTGTTGTCATTGCTAACATTAAATGCATCAGAAAACTCTTAGCCAACTCCAGTGTAGTAACAAGATCCTACAGGTTTTGCATAATGAAGTCTACGGTTACCATTTATGTACCATCATCAGTTACAGACTTCACAAACGAAGCTTTTATAAAAATGTGGGTTTTTTAATATATATATTTGGGGTTCTTGGCCACCGAGTTTCTTGCAATTGCTGTGATTTGAAGCTATGCTACTTACAACAGAAATCAAAATAGCAATCTGTAGGAGTGAGCTTATAGATTTGGCCTCTCCAACACCAGCCAACAACCGTGCATTTAAATGCCATGGCAACCACGATTTAGGCACAAAGGAGTCCTGATGTTATTCAGCAACCTTGTTGTGACAAAATCGTGTCCAGTTTACCTTATTCCATATCACACTGAATAGACGCTTTAATCATCTAAAAAAGCCTCTCTCTTCTAGGTCCAAATGTACTTTCATGTCTTAATGGGTGTTCAAAGAGCATACAGATTCTGTCTCAATAGAGTTACCTGGGGCTGTCGGTGGGTGGGGGGGCATGTGTATTGTTTTGATGGTGGATAATTTATGGGGCATGGAAAGAAATAGGTCGATCATTGTCACAGGCCTGGACTCATGGTGGCAAGTACAAGTGCAAATTGCACCAAAGCAATTGCTCTCCAGGAACGCGCGGTCTGTTTTGTCCCCGAATCAAATGTGACTCTGTCTTTTGTGCCACTCTCCTCCAACCTTAATAGCTTATTTCACATACTCTATTTTTTAAAAATACATTTTGATTGATTGCAGAGAGGCAGGGAGAGGGACAGAGAGATAGAAAACATCAATGATGAGAGAGAATCATGGATCGGCTGCCTCCTGCTCGCCCCCTACTGGGGTTCGAGCCTGCAAACCAGGGCAGGTGCCATGACCTCCTGGTTCAGAGGTCAAAGCTCAACCACTGAGCCACACCAGCCGGGCTTCACATACTTTATCAGCCATGTTTCTCCTTTCTTCTAGTTTACACTTCACAGTTATATTGTTGATCTTGTGCACGTTTCATGGATATACCTAACTTAATATTGTTTATCATCATCCTCTTTATCCTCCTGTTTCTAGGATCACCGTTCCTCCTGAAGTAGAACCTCTAGAGAGTTTTAAAAATGCAATCCTAGGATAAATGATTCTAATAGTTAAATTATGGGGAGTGGAGCTAGAGAAAATAGTTTTCAGCATAAAGTCATTTGCATAGATAAATAATTCAACAATTCTTCTTTCCATTGAGTTAGTATTTGATTTGTTTTTGTACTTTTGATGTGAAAATATGAGTCATCTTGGCATTGGTTATTTATCATGAACTATTTTAAACTTCCATTAAATGGTTGGAGCAAGTTCAAGAAACATTGACAATGTCAACTATATTTTAAATCACGATATTAATTGTGTGTAATGCACCAAGTACAATGCTTATTATTTTGTGGAGATGCATAGAAATTTAGCATTGATATGCTCTTGTACTTTTCACTTGAGGACATAGAGTTTTATAGGTGAATTTGCACTTCTCTCACAAATAAGACAATTTTAAAAATTAAAGTCTTTGTTACTGAAGTAGGTTTATATCAATATGACCGTTTTATTTTTAAATGCCTCTTTTATTAACAATGTGTTTGCAAATTGATTTCTAAATTCAATTTTAAATCCCAGGAATGTTGCAGGATATAGAACTAGGAATACATTAAAATTGCAGTTTGACATTAAGTGCTTAGTAAAATGATGAAATAAGAATGACTGACAGAAAAAGAAATGGTAAGAATATCTTCAAACTTAATATTCCCATTTGAAGAAACAGATTATATAGTTATATAATTTCTAATTATTCAATGTAATTTATAATCATATATATAATTATATATAAACTAGAGGCCTGATGCACGAAATTCGTGCAAGAGTAGGCCTTCCTTCCCCCAGCTGCCGGCATCGGCTTCCCTCTGGCACCCCGGACCCAGGCTTCCCTTGCAGCCCCAACTTTGTCCAGAAGGTCATCCAGAAGGACATCTGGAAGGACGTCTGGTCTAATTAGCATATTATGTTTTTATTATTATAGATTGATAACATGTGATATAGTTATCATATATATTTAATTAAAACATATCTAAAATTTATATAGTTATATATATAAATTGTTTTAGTATCATCTAGTGAGATAATCATATATAATTAATTTAACATACATATTATATCATATATACGATTTATATAGTCGTGTATAAGTTACATATATATTGTAGCATCAACATTTTCTAAAGCTTTTATTAGTTTGATAGCTTTAAGCATATGTAATTGTAAAAGATCAACAAGCATACTGCTTTAGGATATAACAGAACCTAATCAACACATATTTTACTTTTTTAGAAGTCTAGTGTAGAGTAATATAAGAATGGGTGGGAATTTCTACTTGAAAGCACTAGTAAATTGATACTCGGAATAAAAGCCAGTGCATTTGGTCTTCGAAGTATAGGCACAAGCACATTTATAGCAATATTTATTGTTCATGACAATGACCCAAGATAGACCCCCATTCTAAGAGACTTGCACAGCAATCTAGACCAATTAAATTGTGCTTTACTGTAACTTTATTGCGAGACAGGGAGAGAGAGATAGAGACAGGATGAATGGGGATGCATTAGATTGATCAAGGCAAGTAAAGTTTCAAACACTTACGTATGGAGGTTAGAAAGCCAGGCTGATTTCTGAATGGGCATTTGATTCATGAGTCGGAGGTTCAGGTCCCAGGTCCAGCTGTCATTTCCTTACATGATACCCGCTGGCCAACCTCCCTGGGCTCCAGGGACCTCATTTGCATATGAATGGTGAGGCCAGATGAGTTTTAGAAATTTACATAGGCTGGCCCTGCTGCATTTTCTTAGAGGTTTCCCCCCAAAAAGTTTAATAAATAAATGTCAGTATTGTTTTGTAATAAAGATTTCTAACTAAAAATAAAATATTTACTCATCGATTTAGTTCACCATTCTTGAATTCCTACCGTGTGTAATTCTGAATAGGGAGTTTACAGTTAAATAAGTAAAGTTAATGTAAAGAGAGGATTGCAAAGTCATTTAATCATTGCCATAATGAAACATAAAGGAGACTTTATGGTAAGATAAGTGAGTAAGGTATTCAAATACCACAAATGCTGTGAGTCCTCAAGTGAAAAATTCAAGAGCATATCAATGCTCAATTTCCTTGCATCTCCACACAATAATAAGCATCGTACTTGGTGCATTATACACAATTAATATCATGATTTAAAATATAGTTGACATTGTCAATGTTTCTTGAACCTGCTCCAACCATTTAAGGGAAGTTTAAAATAGTTCATGATTGTCGTGCGGGTAACTGGGTAAGTGGAAGCCGCACAGAAGAGTTTAGACTTTGTTGTCACCATAAAAGAGGGGATATTTGTAGATTTTTAAGCAGAAGAATAAAACACTTAAGTCAGTTTTTAGACAGTAGCCTGGTAGATAGTTCTGATTCACTGAGGAAAAATGAACCAACAAAAAACAATTCTTATATGAGTCAAAACTTGCTCTCTACATAAAGGAGCATGCCCTTGTCATAGCTCGGGTAAAATTGTTGACCTTTTGTGAGTGATGCTTTTGACCAAAGAGGGCATCCACGATTCCCTAGGAGATGTATGCCTGGCCCAAGGGAAGAAAGTAGAATGACAAAGAGAGTCACCTGCCTGCTTTGTGTCTGGAGGTGTGGATGGCTGCTGTGGATCAGATCCTGGACCATTCCGTGATGTTTCCTGTCCAATGTATGCTGTCCCTGTGTGACAACTCCATTGAACCCAGAGAGCATGGTCAAGCCTGAGTTACATAATAAAGTTGGTGTGTTTTTTTGGGCAGGTAACAGAAACACGGACGGGTCCCCTGGGCTGCAGTAACTATGACAACCTAGATTCTGTCAGCTCTGTTCTGGTCCAGAGTCCTGAGAATAAGATTCAGTTGCAAGGTATGTAAGTAACACTCATTCTCCATGGGCCTCGATGGCAACTCTCCCACTGTGATGACTTTCTTCTTTAGTTACCAGCCCCGTGTGCAGTGCTGGGCTTTTAAAATTCTCATAAAAGGCCAATTTCCCAAATTTTGAGCTGATACGAGCATTCTAGAGAAGATGACGGAAATGTCAAAATTCACTGTACTCCTTAAATTATCTCTAGCGATTGAAAATTTTTCATGATAGTATTTTACTTCCTTACGGTTCTCACTGGCTCAACAAGGAGCAGTGTTTTCATAGGTCTGCCTGAGTTTTGCATTTTTTCTTTTTTTAAAAAAATATTTTTATTAATTTCAGAGAGGAAGGGAGAGAGAGAGAGAGAAACATCAATGATGAGAGAGAATCATTGATCGACTGCCTTCTGCACACCCACTACTGGGTATCGAGCCTGAAACCCGGGCATGTGCCCTGACTGGGAATCAAACCGTGACCTCCTGGTTCATAGCTCAACGCTCAACCTCGGAGCCATGCTGACCAGGCAGCTTTATATTTTTTTCTTATAGATTCTGGTAAAAGTTGTAAACATACTTATTCATGGTGTAACATGAACTGTTGACATTTTACAAATAAATACATATGGCTGTTATGGCTGCATTTGTCTTCTGACAACTAGAAATGTACTTGAGAATACATACATTCTGCTATTTATATTTTCCACTATAAAGATAGATTATGTGATAATGCTAGTAAATTACCATCTTTTTCTATTTGAAATAATTTAATAGGGGGTTCTAAAAAATAATAACTTTTAACAAGCCTAGATTGTTTCTGAAATGCTCGTGTGTATGCATATTGCTCATTCATTCGGACAGTGAAAGGTTATGAATAAACATGCACTAGTTTGAATAAGTTCAGGAAAGTGTTGGTGTTGGCACGTTGTCTAAATCCTGCCGACTGATCAAAGGAGTAATTCTGAGTTGTTCTTTTCTGGTCTGCCTTCTTCAATTGCGTAAGCGCGAACTGTATTTACATATTCAGTTTTACACCAACATACATTTTTCTCTCAATACTAATTCTTTGTTTTTATTAAATGTACCTCATAGATAATGATGAAGGGTCAAACATTGGCTTTTTTTAAATAAAGGAAATGTAAGTGTAAAAATCCAGTTTTAGAGTAAATAACAACTATGTGTTGGTCAAATTTCCCCTTACTGTTATGTTTATTTTCATCTACTGATTAGTTTGAATGTTTAGCCTTCTTATTAAATTTTCCTGTGTAGCAATAAATGCTGAAATTGAAACAACATTCTTAAAAAATATATTTATTAATTTCAGAGAGAAAGGGAGAGGGCGAGAGAGGTTGAAACATCAGTGATGAGAGAGAATCATTGATAGGCTGCCTCCTGCATGCTCCCCCACTGGGGCTTGCCCTAGCCAGTGTTGCTCAGTGGATAGAGCATCAGTCCTGGGACAGAAGGGTCCCAAGTTCGATTCCGGTCAAGGACATGTAGGTTGCAGGCTGGATCCCTGGCCCTGTTGGGTGCTAGCGAGAGGCAACCAATCGATGTGTCTCTCTCATATTGATGCTTCTCTCTCTCTCTCTGCCTCTCTTCCTCCTTTCCACTGTCTCTAAAAATCAATGGAAAATATCCTCGGGGGAGAATTAACAAAGAAAAACAACAACAAAAGAAAATACTGAAAACTGTTAGAAATCAAGTGATGCAGAATAAACACCTGCCTCCCTTTTCAAGGGTAGACAGTCTCTACCTACAATGTAGATGATTCTACATGAGGGAAAAATAACCAAACATTCTGATCAAATAAGTCAGAGAGCCAATCAAGTAAGTTCAAAAAACAAAATCAGATAGTCTGAGGGGTTGAGCACGTCTATATTTACTGGGCTTCTTGCACAGTGCATGGAGTCAGCATATGGTGCAAAGAGTTATAAATATTTGCAATTTTGTGGAGTTGGATAATTTTCCAGGGATCATGTTCAACATGCATCAATCCATATCTCAATACACTGAGTCTTTGACCTTTTTGGCTATCTATATATATAAAAGGCTAATATGCAAAGTGCCCCCTTGGGAGTGCAGTCACTCGCTATGACGTGTGCTGACCGCCAGGGGGCAGCGTGGAATGAAGGAAGGCCCCAGCCGGCAGCCGGAAGGCCCCAATCGGCCCTTACTGCTAGCCAGGCCTATGGACCCTATGTGCATGGGGTCTCTAGTTGTAAATATGTATTAAGCTTTTTTTTCTTTATCAAAGCAAACTTGTTTGCTGTGTTTGCTCTTTAAGGCCTGCAGGCTCTCCTCCCCGACTATCTTCAGGAGCGTTTTGTGCAGGCAGCTCTGAGCTACATCGCCTGCAACTCCGAGGGAGAATTCATCTGCAAGGACAATGACTGCTGGTGTCAGTGTGGCCCCAGATTCCCAGAATGCAACTGCCCCTCCATGGACATCCAAGCCATGGAAGAGAATCTGCTTCGGATAACCGAGACCTGGAAAGCCTACAATAGTGACTTTGAGGAGTCAGGTAAGACCTGGGTTTTAACGCCACACTGCGACTTGGCCCAAGGAATTGCCGTGTTGAAAAGATCATTCTTGGGAGGGATTTTACTAGCTTTGTCTTCTTCTTCTTTCAAATGGACATGGGATTGCTTTTATGGATGGTTATTCAGTATTTCACCAAAAACACACATGGCGCTTTGTGTATTTCTGCGTGCTTTCGGCATTGGAACCTTGCCTGCTTTTGAGCTCACATGTCAGTCATTCTGTTGCTTTCGTCAATACAAGAATGGATTGTGTGACATCTCTGATACCTCGCTGGGTTTTTCCAGTGTCCCTGAGCTTCCTGACGTCTCCCCTGGTTCTGTGAATTCGCTGGGCACATGACCTTCATTCCCCAGTGACCACAGACAACAGTTTGACCAGCCGTTTCCACACAAGGAGGATTGCCCTCATCCCAGCCTCTTATAGAGTGTCCTGGACACACCCACCATCCACCACATCAAAGTCATGGCTTTCCTCAGCACAGTCTCCCCCTCCATTTGCAGCCCCATTGCTGTCTAAGTCAAGATCAGCTTGGCGGTACTGGAATAGCAAACTCCCCTAGCATCTCAGATAGAAACTCCATTCATTTCTTTTTTTTTTTTAAATATTTTATTGATTTTTTACAGAGAGGAAGGGAGAGGGATAGAGAGTTAGAAACATCCATCAGCTGCCTCCTGCACACCCCCTACTGGGAATGTGCCCACAACCGAGGTACATGCCCTTGACCGGAATCGAACCTGGGACCTTTCAGTCCGCAGGCCGACGCTCTATCCACTGAGCCAAACCGGTCAGGGCTCCATTCATTTCTTGCTCAGACCACAAGTCCACACAGGTGAACGGGAGTCTTTGCATTGCCCTGTTCTCACCTCGAGTCCGGCTGAAGAAATGTCCTATCTGGGATGATTTGGGAATGGAGGCAGTAGAAAGAGAGCAGTAAATCATTGCGGCTCTTAGGTGACTTGCCAGGAATTGATTACGATCACTTTTTATGGCCAAGTCTAATTTCAAAGGAGACAGATGCCATTATGCCATGTGCCTGGAAGAGAAGACGACCCAGAATGTTGGTGGACAGCCAACCTGTCAGCCAGGGTTGGTTTTTCAGAAACCGGCAACTAAAAACATATTCTCTGTCATCTCACCACGTAATCGTAGGTGGGACTATATGGTTTACTCTTGGTATCTGGAGTTTCATAGTCCGGGAAAGGCGATGTAGACTATTTTGTTATGTGAACTTTGACACATTCAATCCATTGTAGCCATCGTTTTGTCGAAACTCAGTAGTTGGGCATCAGATAAACAAACTTTATCAGTAGCAAGCCATGTGATCATTAGTAAGTCATTTAATCTCTTAAAACTTCTGCTATCTCATTTGTTATTTGGTTACCTTATTTAGCTTAGAGGAACTAGGTATAAAATTATTATTCAAAATTAACTATCACATATAATATTGCATCCTCATGGGTGAAGATCTTTGGCCATCATATGCTTATATTTATAGCATAACTGTTTTATGGGGATTGGTAATTAGAATATAGGAGTAAGGGAAAGAATGGAAGCTTTTCATAAAATCAAGTCTCTAATGATGATTCTTAAAATATTTATGTAAGTTTTAATTTACTGTGATAATCTGCTCATTGGCTCTGCTGTAACTTACAGGTATCCCCAGCAGGAGACAATGTTCAGCTTTCATACTAATATATCAAAACCAATTTGGTTTTCACTGCTGTTTGCTCCCATTGGTCAGTGTGTCTGCTCTGATTCATCAATGCCTGGCTGTATCCTATTTAATATGTTATGAATATCACCTTTGCCATCACCAAATTTTATCCTGTACTTCAGTTAATTTCCTAACATCATCTGAAAGAAGATGGCTGTAGAGTGTCAAGCAAGTGTCTTATGCAAGGATTCCTGATTTAGCTCCCAAGGGCTTTCTGCCAGATGCCATCTACCTGCTCCTCTTTGCCTGATGTATTTCCATTCCTAGATCAGGTCCTACATCTCAACTGCCTGTACAGGGTTCGATGTTTTTTTGAGGGCAGAGAACAACATATTTATTTTTATTTTTTTATTTTTTTTTACTGATTTCAGAGAGGAAGGGAGCGGGAGAGAGAGATAGAAACATCAATGATGAGAGAGAATCACTGATCAGCTGCCTCCTGAATGCCCCACACGGGATGAAGCCCACAACCCAGGCATGTGCCTTGACTGGGAATCAAACCATGACCTCCTAGTTCATAGGTTGATGCTCAACAACTGGGCCACACCGGCCAGGCCAGCATATTTCATTTTATCATTACACTAGAGGCCTGGGACATGAAAATCCGTGCACTGGAGGGGAGGGTTTCTCAGCCCGGCCTGCCCCCTCTCACAGCCTGGGAGCCCTCAGGGGATGTCCTACTGATGGCTTAGGCCTGCAGGAGGTGACTGGGCAATCAGGGGAAGGCGCCACCCCCATCACCCTGCAGCTGCTGCTGCCTCTGGCCTCCCTCTGCGGGAGGCAACCGGCCAATCAGGGGAAGGTGCTGCCCCCATCACCCCACTGCTGCTGCCACTGCCGGCTGCTGCAGCTGCCAGCCCTTGGCCCTCACTTCTTAACACTGGCCCTCCCCCGCCCACTGGTGGGTGGGGGGCGATCTGGGGCCAGGGCAGCTCAGGGAGGGGCTGTGGGAGGTTGAGGCACAGCAGGTTGCACCCCATTCAGCCTCTGTAGAGGCGTGGCACCAGGACCGGGCCCATGCAGCCCCCTCTCCCACTGCCTCTGCAGAAGGGGCCATAGCGTTAGACTGGCCTGCGTCGCTGCCTCTCCCGCACTGGTGCCAGCCCTTGGCCCTCATAGTGACTGTGGCTTTGTCTAGAAGGACATCCGGAAGGACATCTGGAAGACGTCAGGTCTATCTGATCTAATCAGCATATTACCCTTTTATTAGTATAGATGAAAACTGGTAAACTGTGCTCTATTTCGTAGACACGTTGTACATCACAATATATGTTGATTGATTGATTGATGAACAGGATCGAATATATGCGCAGCCAGGCGCTGCCCCGACTTTGACTGAATCTGCCTCGTTCCCTGCCTCTTGGAATGTCACCAAAGCTGAACTTGGTCTTTTCAACAGGCATATTCAAAAGAGCAGTGCTAAGCACCAAAAACACTTTACCTGTTATATTGTTTTGTTTTGTCTTTACCTCAGGATTGTGAGAGATTTTGGGGGGGTCTTTTTTTTCTATCGCTCAGATATGAAGAGCATGAACAATACAGGCGATTGATTACAAAGAGTGCTTTTTCCATTACTTTGAATTTATTTATTGAGAAAAGTTACCTCTCTAGAGATGTTTGTTTTAATGCTATCAGAGGCCGTTGTTACTAGAACCTATAATTTGGTCAACTATCAAGGTTAAGTGGAAACCAATCATTCATCATTGATTCAGTATCACCGAACTAGCATAAATGGGGACTTTATTCAGTGTTTTATTTGTTTCTGTGTTTTAATGTCAGGTTTTTGTTTTTTTAAGTAGACATAGACATTGGGGAAGGAAGATTAATAACTCATACTGTATATTCAGAGAATTTTTACATGGTTGCATACATGACACACAGACACAGACAACACTATGCTGACACCTACAGCACGCACAGAGCATCCACCAAGTGGCTACAGGGCCTGTCACGGAGGGTCTAGTTTAATGTTTGTTATCTTGCTAGTATGACTTAGCAGCCAGCCGTGAGGTGAGGAAGAAATGGCCCTTTTGCTGGCAACAGTCAGCACCTCGTTTAAGGAGTTGACAAAGTGTGAGCGGAAAGATCCGGAAGTTAATTGGCAGCTAAACAAATGTGTGGCCTTATGTCAGATCGTCAGGTAGCTGTGTTGTGTGAACTCCCAGCAAGTATCATCCCGGGAAGGTTGGCCAAATTTGTCGCCCTGGCTATGCAAGATAACACACACACAGAGGAGCAAGACAAATGTCCCCAGGCACCGCGGGAGCTCAAAGACGCATCTCAACTCATAAAACTAACCGGGGCTGGCTCTCGAGTCCGGTCTGTCAAGCCTCCTGCCTGGTGGGGAATCCTCTGCTCTACACAGTGTCGAGTTGATAATTTCACTCCTGTTTCCAGGGGTGGGGAGCTCTCTGAACCACAAAGCAAAGCCCAGGAGCATGAGTTGGAGCCCTGTCATTAGAAGATGACTCTTGCCCTAGAGCAGTGATGGCGAACCTTTTGAGTCGGCGTGTCAGCATTTTGAAAAACCCTAACTTAACTCTGGTGCCGTGTCACATATAGAAATTCTTTGATATTTGCAAGCATAGTAAAACAAAGATGTATATTTTTGATATTTATTTTATATATTTAAATGCCATTTAACAAAGAAAAATCAACCAGAAAAATGAGTTCATGTGTACACGTGTCATAGGTTCGCCATCACTGCCTTAGAGGGTTTGGCTCAGTGGATAGAGCATTGGTCTGCGGACTTAAGGGTCCCGGGTTCGATTCCGATCAAGGGCAGTACCTTGGTTGCAGGTTCCCTGGACCTGGTCGGGGCACGTGCAGGAGGCAACCAGTCAATGTGTCTCTCTCACATCAATGTTTCTCTCTGTCTCTCCCTCTCCCTCCCACTCTCTCTAAAAATCAATGGGAAAATATCCTTGGGTGAGGATTAACCAAGAGAGAGAGAGAGAGAGAGAGAGAGAGAGAGAGAGAGAGAGAGAGAGAGAGAGATGGGGGGAGATGACTCTTGTTTATTTTGAAATTGTATTTATTCCTCACTTTTCTGCAAAAGTAGCATAATGGTGCCGTGTGCTAAAATATTTGTGGCTCTAACCTTTGTCCAATATGGTTTCTTCTCCATACACATGCAGTGTCCACTCCCTCCTCCAGGGGGCAGCCTTCAGGTATTTGCATAATTCTCCCACCTCCCCTGTATGTGTGTTAAGGAATCTCATATTCCTACTCTCTTAGGTGATCTTTATTTCTAACCCATTGGCCTA